TCATAGTGGGGGCAAGCAGAGTAGGGAGGATCCAGTTACATGGCCACTGGAGAGAAGCCACGTCTGGAGACTACTTCTCTGGGAATTGCTCCTCAGAGTGACAACCTCCAGCTAAATCTCCCTAACTACTTATCCATATAAAATTGCTGTTTCACCCAGACTATGTGTAGCACAAGCTGGGCATGAAATTTAAGACTTTCCCTGTTTTCTTATAAACTGTTTAACAAGACAGACAAAAAAAATCCCTGGATGTGAGGGCATGGACACTTTGGACAGTCCAAGAATAAACAATTCACAAGACAGAATTTTCCCTCTTATTTCCCACCCCCCAGCTCTGGCAGTCTTCATGATTGGATGTAATAAGCTGTCAATCACACTTAAGGGAGGAATGACTTTAGTCATGTGGAACTGAAAAGGAGCTTAAGGATAACCTATTTTGTAACCGCCTTCTACCAAATGCTATTTCAGCTGGTTGAGGATGCTGATTTTATAATGCTAGAGAAAGTGTGGCTGGAAAAGTAGGCTCACAGAGCTCCTCAATAACACAGTGGGATCTCTCTGCCAATAAAATCATCACTCTTTTTTACACTGTTCATGGTAATGAGTGAAATCATTTCTGAGGTTTTGGATGCCTCTGTTCTAGACAGATTCGTCCTTTTGCATAGCTCTGTTCACATTCATCAACACATCTCTACTTCCTTCGAGCAACAATCCCACTTCCTATTATGGAGAAAACTATATTGACCTTGGGGCCTGGTTAATTCTCAGAACTGCTGTTTGATTGATAGAACATGTGACTGAGGTTTCACTCCAAGCACAATAAGCTCTGAAACCCCTTTAGATAAGAAGGCATTGAATAGACAAGATACTTTTACTGGAAAAAGGAAAAGACCTTCCAATTAGGAAGTTGAAAGGCAGTTATATTAGGCCTCACAGCTACTACATGTAGATCAAGAGTAGGACAGAAATCAGCATATGCCAGAAGACTGACAAGAGTCATGGTCCTGAAGGATCTATGAGGCAACAGTATTGAGGGACTCTTCTCGTAGTTCAATATATTGTACTTGCTGATCCTGCGTTCCATGGGCAGCCGACCTTGTACTGACACATGTCTCTTGCCACACCAATGTCCAACCCCCGTATGATACTTAAGCAACATTTCTGAATTTCCTCTGAGAAGGCTCTTAGAGGGAATGACCAAATTTCCTTCCTCTGAGTTTTCTAGCTGTAAGTGTTTGACCAGCACTGGATTGGCCCATAATAGGTTCCTGTTGCACTGTTTTGTGGCTGTGCACTAGGAGGCTGACAGGAGTTCCAATTGCAACAAAATCGAGACTTGTAGGTTAATGAGAAAGTTACAATGGCCTGCTCTTTCATACCATTCTTTACTATCTTTCATTTCAGTGACTGAGGGAAGGCCAAAATGAAGTTCTTTAGTCCATTTCTGAGGCAAAGGGATCAATGCCTTGCCTTTTGAGTGTCTATTGCTCACAAAGCATACCTTTTCACTCAGACATATTTTCTTAAATTGTCTTTTAAAATCCTATAAAAGCTTCACTTTGCTGCTCATGCCCTTAAAGACAGAGAATTCTGGGGAGTTCTCCTTCCCATGGCCATGCTCAGAGCAAAGATCTGATTTACCTCCAGACCCCATGGAGACGGGGAATACCCCACTACAAAAACTACCTGGCAAAGAAGAGACTGAGAAACAGCAGTTTATAGCAAGGCTGTGGAATTCCTCAGTCTCTCCTTTGTCATATGTTGTGAATGGTACTAAGAGGTACTTCACTAACTGTGCCAACCCAGGATGAGCTGTAGAAAGGAACCGTGACTCAAAACACCCCTCTGCATCTCAGATCTTCACGAGCTCCTGCTTTGAACAAGAGGCTGAATATATTGGGTTGCCCCATTTGCAGACCCTTCCGTCAGGTAACTCTATTGGTTGCCATGAGAAAGATTTGTGGCTCCACCTTCGCCCTGCCTCTCTCCTGCTCATCTGTTCACTATTTAGTAGGGGTATGCAAAATTTCATTTGATGTTTTGTTTCAACGCTGTTTCAACTCATTTTGAGCTCAAAACAGCAAAATTGAAATGAAACAAAGGGCTTCAAAACAGCCTCAAAACGAAATAAGGGCAGAAGCTGAAGCTGGGTTTGCCTGCCGGCAAACAGAAAGTAAGGAGAGGGAGGGGGAAAGGGAAGAAGAAGGACACAGTGAGGGTATGTCTTAGCACACATGCTGGAAAAGAAGCTCCTGGAGGAGAGGAAAGAAAGGCTCTGTCACACTTTGGCTGCCTGAGGTGATGCTAGTGCTGCTGTGCTGCTGCTCACTAAGTTATACCTGTTGTCATTTAAAATGGTGGACCAGACTGAGGTTGCAGGGGAGAAGGAGACCTCATTGCAGCACATTAACATGTTATGTAGAGGCCCCAGCACCAGTGAAGATGCACCTTAACACACACACAAAATCACACGTCACGAGTTTTGCTTGTCAGCAGCTTGAGGTGCAATTTCCCAGAAACCCCTCCACCTATCTCCTTGAAAGCTAGCAGGCTTCATGGTCTCAGCACGGGCTACCATCCCTGCAGTTTTCACACTGCTGTGCCTTCACACTTACGAGTGACATGAGTTTTGCTTTCAAGACTTTGAGGTGCAGTGTCCCAGAAACCCCTGCAACTATCCCCTTGAAATTTGGCAGACTTCATGCCCTTGCAAGGGGCTACCATCCCGGCAAGTGTCATCAAAATCAGGCAAGAAATGACAAGTTATAGGCAGGTTTGTGCTTCCCCATTATAGCCTATGGGCAAAACGTCAAAGCAGCATCAAAACAGCGAAACAGTTTTGATGAAACAAAATGGAACAGTGCTTTCGAAATGAAATGATACTCAAAACAAAATGCTGTCCTGTCAAAATGGCAAAATGGAAGTTGAAACGAAACAGTGCTGTTTCGCACAGCCCTACTATTTAGTCCCCTGCTCTAAGTAGGACCTGCCCAGATGGGCCCAGGGACAGGCCTGGGCTTCTACAATTCTCCCCATAGGCCACACAGAGCCAGGTCACTAAGTTGCTCTGTCAGTAATGCAGCAGGATGGCCATTCTCAAGTTCTCAATGTCCTTTTAAATGTATGCGTAAGTAAAAATTTGATTTAGAAATATTCACAGTGAGAAGAAGCTATAGATGTAATTTTTGTAAACAATGATAAATAATGGCACCCTTCATTAGAGGATCTTAGAGTACTCTGATTTTGCTATAATTCATATTATCTTTTGTTATATCCTGTTCACTGGGGATGACACTGAAAACCAGGGAAGTGAAGTGACTTAACTGAGGCCATATGCTGAGTCAGCAGAAGAACTAGTAAAAAATGTCTTGCTCTTTGCTCAGATCACAAGATCACATTCCCTCCTATAACACTGAACAGAGGAAAGCAAAAACCATAATAATCACACAGCTCTCTGCTTGATCACTGTCTGCCTCACTTCTTCCATTTCCTCCAATCTCTCCCCACCCTTGCCTGTTTTTGCCTGTTTGCTCAATGGAAAAGGCATGCGTGCATGCATGTGGGTGAATACTCTGTTCTGCCTATCTCTGCAGAGCCTGCCTTGTCTACCTGCATAACTTCAAGCTGCACATATGGTAAATCAGAGCCTACTCCACCCTCTGGGGTGTGGTTCCTCAGTTCCTTCTACTGATTTGAGCTGGGTCCAGAGTACACTTTTAAACTCTGAAGGCAACAGGAGAAATTAGTCCTGTGCCATTAACTGAATCTACCTCTTAGCCAGAAGCCTAAGATTCTGCCAGCCAACTGGGAATTTTTAAGGGCTATTCATAATAAACCTAAACACATTATAAAATGTGGATAAATAGTATTATCCTGATTATAAAAACACGGAGGCACCTGCCTTAAATCACACAGCAGGTCAGTAATAGCGCAAGAATGGAAACCCAAGTTTTCTAACTTCCTCCCTCTTCACCACTTTAACCTTGGGCCATGCTGCCTGTATCCCCTTAACTCTCCAAATATCCCTGCCCTCTCCTTCCCTAGCCAATGGGGCTATTCTGTGCTGATACTTCTATAAAAACAACCAATAAATCAACACAGGCAAGTCAGGAAAGAAAGAAGTTATTGCTGTTGTCTTGCAGTTTTGTGTAGAGCAACATTGCCATCTTGTGAGCCACAGGGAGTATCTCCTCAAGTGTATCTAAAATAAAAGTGCCCAGCACTGAGCTACCCTGATGGACAAGCTCACAGCCAAGGGACAAACTTTAAAAGTATACAGGACAGCAGGAAGCCTAATTCCTATTGATAATCAATGGCATTTAGGTACCAAACTACCATTTTTGCCTCAGAAAATCTCTTCCCATCATGTTGTGCTTTATCAGTCTTCACACAGCAGCTGAGTTCACACATTTTCTTGAAAGTATAAAAGGGCTATCATATTTCCTGTTGAAATGTAGTCACTAGATCTGCTATATTCAGGGATTACAGCGTCGCTCCAGAATTATATTGTCATTAGGGTATTATGCTCTTGATTGACAGCTTCCATAGGCAGTTGCCTGTTAAAGACACGACAGTAGTATATCTTAATTGTCTCCCACGATCCCTTTAAAGTAAAAATTGCTTGCTTTTGACTTCCATGATATGCTCTATATTCAGACCATTTTTATCCGATGGCATTTGTAAGAATCACAAATGTTTTGAGAGAATATGGAACTGAGTTCAACCTATCTATGGTTTTGCCTCAAAAAATATACCATCTCAGAATTATAAGCTATTTAGGTCCCTGCATGTTTTTAACGTAACACTTGTTGAAATCCTCTGGCTTCAACTGAGCTTAAGGATTTAGAGACTTCAAGTCTGTGTTGGAGATGGTAAAACAGCATGGATCCAAACTGAAGAACATGTCTGGGTTATCCCTTGTAAAAGTAAACTGTGGAGCTTAGAACAAGCTTAACCAAGTCCCTGAAACCTTTGCACAAAAACAGGCTGTCTCTTCTCACCTGTGGATGAAATGATTTTCTTCCAGATATCTGCAGCCACAGGCAATGTCTCTGGCAATGTTCAACAGGTCTTGCATTGTCAAAGTGGATGGCTGGTTCTGGAGAAGATAAGAAATTCCATATTGGGTCAGAATGTGGGTTCGGCCAGCCAATTATTCTGTGGTATATAGAGGATCTTAAGGGAAAAAATATTTACGAAGAGCCTATCCACACTGATCTTCCCCTAGAGCTTACACCTTTTAGAGACTTAGAAAATCCCAATTTGGAGTTTGTACCTATAACTATACTGATTAATACCCACAGATGGACTTATCCTCCATGAATTTGTGCAATCCTCTTTTGAACCTGTTTAAATTGTCAGGCTTTACACCTTGTGGCAGTAAACTCCACAAGCTAATTACATGTTGTTTGCAAAAGAACACCCTGTTTTTGTTTTTTAATTGCTTTCCTATAATTTCTTTGTGTCCCCTAATTCTGATAGTGTGAGAGATAGAAAACAGTAAGTCCCCATTTACTTTCTCCACCCAAGTTATTGTTTTATAGGGCTTTATCATTATTCAGTTATTTTATCTCTAAGCTAAAAAGAAACCTCTCAATGCCTCCAGTCATTGAAGAAGAGAGGAACAGACAGATGGGAAGAAAAGAAAGGCCGGATGGAATGACAAATAGCTGGGGAGAGAAGGAAGGGAGGGTGAGACACACACAGGGAAACAGTGAAAGAAGGAAATGTTGGCAGGAGCAAAGGGCCAAAGATGTGTCAAAGAAAAGAGCAAGGAAAAGACTGTGCTTCTACTTAAAGTGTATAGCTCTCCAGACAGGTGGAGTGAATCTGTTGAATCCTACCAACTGTGAGTGAGTGACAGAGGGTGCGTACAGAAAAGCTCCACGGATGTTTTACAACACTGTCATTTAGAGCACTTTTACAGCACTATAAGGTTACAGTGGTCTTAAACAAGACAGCAGTGCAGTGCTTGGTGGGGGGTAAGGGGCCTCTGCGCCCCTGCACTTTCCAGGCTAGGAGGAAGAGGGTGCTTCGCAGCCTCCTGGGTCTTCTCCACTGGTCAGAAATTTGATCAGCATACAGAAGTTATTTAAAGCACTGTAGGTTGCTAATGTGCTGTAAAATACAGCTTTTCAAATTTAATACCTCATTTGCAAGTTCTGTACCCATTTTAAAGTGCTGTAAAGCTGTGCACTTCTGTTAAGTCATAGCAATAATGCACTTTAAATGGCGAAAAAGCAACTTCTGTACACACCCCTAGTGACTGTTAGTGAGTGGCCCACTCTGGATACAGTAGCAAAAGCTTCTACCAGTGGAGTTGAACAAGAACAGCTCTCTAGTGGTGGCAAGCTGTATGAAAATAAACATCAAAAGATTGCTTGAAAGCACTGGGAAATGACTACAGGCCTTCCAAAGAATGAGTTTGGGGCTGTAAGGGGGTCACACAGCAAAAAAATAAGAGAGCTTTTTAAAAAAACATGTCATCCTATATTTTGAAGGAACTGAGAGAGAGACAGAGTTATGATGAGTGAATGAACTTATATATGCCAGCACCACAGGCTGATAAACTTAGGCATTCTTTAAGTTAAGGAAGAGTTGGGATTCAGGTATAACACAGCAAAAGGAATTCTTTATTTAAGATGCTGGACATGCAGACTATAGCTCTCTTGGGTTTTCCAGTTCAGATTGATGGGCACTGCTTCTGTTGCAATAACCATGCATATTCCATTTAAGCAATCATGTAATGATTTGCTGAATAAGTTATTGTCACAAAGCAGATGCTAGCGCAGCACACACAAAAGCTGTGCTTTTTCTCAGCAAGTCCTACTTATTCTCTTGCAATCATTTCTGGGGAAAATTCCTTGGTGTGTCTTCAGAGAAGTTGTTATGATAAGTGCTTAGGGGAAGGAAGGAGAGAAATTACAACACCAAGCTCAGTGAAATTCCTGGAGATGTCAAGTAAAATCTCTCTCATTAATTTTATTGTGCTTCAGGGTGCTGCTACCTTGGTCATTTCATAGCCTCAAACCACATAATTTTTACTTCAGCTGTTCAGTGTTGTTTTTACTGGTGAAGTGAGTCATTTCTTGATTGTGCAGAGCTCTTGGATGTTTGCCACTGAAAGTTACAGTTATAAACAAGTAGCTTATCGAGGTGAAACAGAAATTGAGCAAGTAAGGTATAGGCAGGAAGGGACCTCTGGCTACATTGTTCTATCCTGTTCTGGAGGTCCCTCTGTTAGTAGGCTGATGGAGTTTCATTTTTACTGTGGCCATAGACACTTATGGTGAGATACATTAACAGTGACTGAAGCTTCTTGATGTTGCAGAAAGGGCACTCAGGAACATTTCTTTGTTTTCTGAGGGGCTGTTTAGTTTGACTAAATTCATGTTCAAGTTTTTCTCCCGTCCAAGCAGGGGGTCGGACTTGAAGATCTACAAGGTCCCTTCCGACCCTACTTCTATGATTCTATGATTCTATGTCCTTTTTAGTCGCTATCAGCTAACATTGTTTCTAACAGGTTTGTGTTCACACTCGTGTTTGGGAATGCCTGTTCTTCATATCAATATTATTTTTTGGGTGCAAACAACAGTACTTATTCACCCCAGTTTTTTGTCATTATTAGTTATGCTTTTTGTTTTGCATGTTCACAAAAGTTGTATGACTTTATGACAGTGAAACAGTTAATGCTGTGTGACCCTCTTAGCGCAGACATGTATAGTGGTATACATGTACTTCACATAGTGCAGTTTATTCAGTAAAAGAAGAGGAACAGTAAGGCACCTTTATACTAATAGTTTTCACAGTATGGTCATCTCATCAAAAATTCGCAGTTCTAATTTAAATCGTTATAACAGTACAAAAATATGCACAGACCAAGCCTCCTCTCCTTCAGTCAGCAATTTGGGAACAGAAACAATATATGATTTAGGTAGCTAGGACAAACCATAGCAAAGAACTGAAATCCACCAGTACATTGAAAACTGCTCATTCAAACTATTCACTGAAGACTGGCCAGTAATAAATATATTTGTAGAAATCAGGACTGATTCTTGAACAATTCCCAAAAAGAAAGAACAAATTATATTTGATAATTTAGTTGCAACAGTTATTTAAATCAGTAATACTGGCACCTAGAGGCCCAGATCTTCTGCTGATGTCAACTGACAGCTCCATCAAAGTCAACAGAATATACTGACTGACACCAGCTGAGAAACCAATATAACATTTTCTCATTAATAAGTATCACTGTAATTCTAGCTTTACACATGCCACAGCAGTTATTATGTAAACCAGGAAGCTGACATGATAAATAATATATTCTCCTATGTGCTGAAGTACTGTTGTACTCATGATGATCCAGGAAATATGGGAGAGGCAAGACTTTTTGTGGGTGATATCTTTTACTGGACCAGCTGCATGGTTGGGATTGACTTAGACAAATGCAATTCATCCATCTCAAAGTGATCTGAAGTAGGAGACATTGCATTCAGGAGTGTCTAAGTCTAAGTCTAGCTCAATCACACAACTGCTCCAGTACAGAATATCACCCACAAAAGTTTTTCCCTCTTGCACATTTTCCTATGCTGTTTTCCAGACGCCCCACACAGAGACCAGTGGAGTTGAAAAGAACACGTTCTCCACTCGATTTCTCCTTTGTCATTAGTAACATGGATCCCTTGGAATATGTGCTAAGGAATCAATTAGCTCAGTTTCTTAAAGTTGAGAAACCAGTCACGCTTATTCTCAGCCATGTGTGCTCCAATACCCTTATTTTTAGTGAAATGCCCCAGTAAAAACAGGCATAAACAGGAAGGCGAGAATGGCTAACCACACGTGGTCGATTCTGCCGAAGGAAGCTCTTCATGTCTCCACCAGCCATGAGCTCCAGCAGAATGAAGCGAGGCAACGTCTGCAGGCTCACACCAATGCACCGCACTATGTTTTGATGATTGAACTTACTGCAAACAAGCAACAAAGAAAAGAGAAGACAATACTGGAGATGAGCTAAAATCTTTTACATAGTTCCCTCTCCTAAACTTTAAGGATTTAGACTAAGTAGACTCTGGATCCAAAACACCCTGCCAGAACAAGTCCCAACTTCAACTGAATCAAAGGCCAGGACATTGGTTGTCTGTAATCACAAGAAATCCAAAGAGATTCAGTATAGATTTGCCCATTCCGAACTTCTTCAGAAACTGAGAAAAGATAACAAAAGCTACCAAATTCAGCAGGCCCTTTCCTCCACGCACATCTACTGTAGTTACTTTATGTTGGACTGGGATAGTACAGAGACAAAGATTTTTTGTGATATCTTTTATTGGATCCACTTCCTGAGGAAGGGGCACTTGGGGCATTTATACATGTGCTCCAGGAGTGTGTGCGTGTGTGTGTGTGGGCAGGGGGGAGGTGCTTGATTAAAGCAGCTCCGAGAACCACTCTAATTAAAGCACCTGGAGCATCGCGTGTACCAGTGTCCCCTCATTGACCGAGCTGTAGATAAAGTGCCCCTGCTGCCATTTTTAAGTGCAGGGATGCTGATACATGAGATGCTGGAGGCTGCTGGAGCGCAGTAATTACCATGCTCCAGCAGACTCAATTAATTGAGCACTGTAATTACTGTAATTGGTGCCCAAAAGCTTGTCTAACAGCTCTCCCAACAATGCAGTTGGTCCTGTAAAAGGTGTCACAGAAAACCCTTGCCTTTTGTATGTTTCTGCCTCCTTAGGAGGTGGGTTGAAGGCATCAACACCTTTTAAAACAGTCTGCTAATCAAGAGCCAATACAAAATGTTGTCTTGGGTCCATCCAGATGATATTTGCAATGCTTTGGCAAAAAGCATTTCTCTCCAGAAAAGTTCCTGTTTTCCATGAAAGAGGTGTGAGGAGGTCTTCCAGATACTCTGTCTGGTGCGGTTGATTTAAATGCTATAACCTCCAGATCTGATGTATCTAAAATACATGGAATTATGGTCATGACTCAGTCTTTCATCCTTCCTAGACAGAAAAATTATATACCTCAGAGTTCACTGTCAGAGGAGCTTTCAGATCAGACTTTCCAAATGACTATCCAGTCTGCTCTCCAGAGAGATCAGAGGTCAGATTTATCCTGAGAGAACTGACCTTCATTGAGAATGGGAAGGAGCTTCCCCATAACTCCTGGACCTCCCTGGTAAACTCACTGCATCACCTAGTAAGAGTTCCCTGACTCTTCGGTCTGTCACAGGACACTTCCATGCCCTGCTCCGAGACAGCCCTGAACTTAAGGGGGGAGGTGTGTCGCAGGGCACTTTGGTGCCCTGCTCCTATAAAAAGGTACAGGTGCCAGTTGCCGGGGCAACCGCAGTTTGGTAAGCTGACTGGAAGGGGGCAGGGCCTGACCTATATAAATGATCCAGGCTGAGGCCAGAGAGGTAGTTCCCTGCTAGCAGCCAAGGAAGAAGGAGCACAGTCTGCCATCCTAAAATACTGGGACCTGAGATGGGACCGGTGGCAGGATCGCCACACACAAGAAATGAGCCAGCTAAGACACCAGCTGAGGGAACTATCCCTATTGCAGGGCAAGGGAGGAAGGGCTGTACCTAGTCCAGGACAGCCAGAGGTGGCCGACATAACAGAGGTAGGAGCAGCAAGGAAGGACGAATGTACTTCCCCTAGGAGCGAGACCTCTTGCCCAATTTACAAGGACAGTGCACAGACAGTCCCGGGTCCAAGGCGACATGAGTCAAAGACAGGCTCCACGAACAGGGGAGCAATTCAGCCTAGAAAGGAAGATGGAGCCCAGGCATGTGAGACAAAAAGGAGGGAACAATCAACCAAAAGGGGACTAGAGCCTGAGAAAAGACCACAGCTATATGTGAGTAGCATACCCAGACAGATCAGGTGGAGGACACTTAGAAAGATCACTGAAGAAAAAGCTGGTGGAGTGGCCTACGTAAAAATCTATAAGGGGCCTGGAGGGAGGTCCACTGGCCACGGAAAGATGGAGTTTTGGAGAGAAGAAGATGCCCAGAGAGCATTAAGTCATCAGTGGGAGATCTGGGGAAGGCTCCAAGACCTTCAGGGAGACGGAGAGAGACCAGGAACCCTACAACTTACCTGGAGGAAAAGACCCAGGTGTGTAGGAAGGGAACAAAGGTGGGCTAGAGAAGAAAGGGAAAAGAAGTCTCGGAAAGTAGGCAGGAGCTTAGCCGGCGAAGGGCGCAACTTACCAAGGTTGGCTAATGTGGGGGGACTACCTGTGGCGGGTAAATCCCAATAAATCCCACACAGTGCGCCTTGGGGAAAAGGCGAGTAGGAGGCACCTGAAAACCTCCGCCTCCAGTATCTGAGCTGCCGGATGCCTAAAGAAAAGCCAAGAGAAGAGACCTCGATGAATGCCACACCTCGCAGAAATGAAGAGCGGCCCCAGTGAATCTTGAACTTAAGCGGGGAGGTGTGTCGATAAAGAGGTACAGGTGCTGGTTGCTGGGGCAACCGCAGTTTGGTCAGCTGACCGGAAGGGGGCAGGGCCTGACCTATATAAATGATCTAGGCTGAGGCCAGAGAGGCAGTTCCCCGCTAGCAGCCAAGGAAGAAGGAGCTCTGCTGGAGTAAGCAGAGTAGAGAAGCCTGACGGCCTGAGCAGCTTCTGCTTGAGGATACCGGGTGGAGGAAGCCCTGGCAGGGATTTGAATGATGGTTAGCCAGTTGGCTTAGAGTTTATGTTGTAGCCCAGGAGCTTGAGTTTTTCTGTTCGTAGTTTTATAAGACTGGAGGACCGGGTGAGGCTAATAGAGGTTGGAGGAGACCTCATAGGGGCTCCACGGTAGTGTGGGGACCCCGGTGCCAGAGAGGGCACAACATTCAGGGGTACACTGACCCCAGCCCTGAGAAGGGGCGCAGAGGATTGGGGGCCAGGTAAGGCCAAGGCTGCCTGAGCCCTGCAGGAACTTTTAGTCCCGAGGAGGAGATTCAGGGGCCAGGCACAGCTACACCCACCTGAGCCCCAATTGTGAGACGCCCCAGAGGGCACTCGCTGTAAGACCCAAGGAGGGGATTCAGGGCCAGGCACAGCTACAGCCACCTGAGCCCCAATTGCAAGGAGCCCCAGTGTGGGCACGGTCACGGATAAGGCCCCAGTGCATGTCTGTGAGGGCGCAGGCGATTGAGACAAGCCAGGGGGCGTCCGTGAGGGCGCAGGCCTTTATGTGAGGGCGCCAAGGGGAGAATTGACAAGACAACGTCTGATACATCTGCAAGGCTTGGGGCGTGGTACAGGGGTGGTTAGAGCCATGCATAGCCCCTAAGGCTCTAGTGCACAGGGTCATCTAAGACGGAGCACAGACTTGGATACATCAGGGGTACCGTGTCAAAAAGGACAAAAAGGCAGCCTCCCTTAACACTACTTGCATCAAAGACATGGCGGGCGAGATGGTGAGGGTGCATTGACACCAACTTGGCACAGTAGGGGGCACTAGGAGAGATCACGGCCACTCCTAGGACCCCGCCCCGTGACACAGTCCAATGCAAAGGACAGGCAGAGACCTGAACCTTTGGGCTCGCTAATGCTGCAGAACCCGTTAGCAGGGAGAAGTCCCTGTAGTAAGGGGAACATAGGGGCTGCACCCTTGGTTGGCTGCTGCAAGAAGGGCACAACGGGGTATCTGTGCACTTCCTCTCTCTGGGCAGCTATTTAGGAGCCAACTCAATCTGTCCCTAAAGTTCCCATAGCATTTTTCATCTTAGTAGGAGTCTGTTCTTAAATCTGTGGCTGAAAAACCCTTCTCTAGCATGCTGTGTATTATTTCAGAAGTGCTGCACAGCTATATGGCCAAAGCTCCAGCTCTTTTATGACACATACTGTATTCCATTTAATCAGTGTGAGTTTGCTTGAATAAGATTATGGGAACTTACTCCTACATGGAAAAGCGCAGTGGGATTCTTCCTGTTGTAGTGGGATTGGAGTATTTGTGTAGCTATGACAATCCAGGAAAGAGTTGATCCAATAAAAATGACATAAAAAGCCCCTTGCCTCTGGGATTCTTTGACAGGAAAAATACTATATATGTAACACATTGTTAAATGAATTTAGAGAAGTTATTAATGTATGACCATTGGAGAAGTGACTTTAGGCTTTGTTACCATGACCGCAAGGATACTATGTCTGAAGTGGACAACTGTCCATCAGAAATTGGACTGAGACCATGGGGGACCTGGTAGCTGCCTATAAGTACACAAGGGGTGTTCATCAGGATCTGGGAGAACATCTGTTCACCAGAGCGCCCCAAGAAAAAACAAGGACCAATGGTCATAAACTCCTACAAGACCATTTTAGGCTGGACATAAGAAAAAATGTCTTTACTGTCTGAGCCCTCAAGACCTGGAGTAGACTCCCTCCAGATGTGGTGCAGGCACCTACTCTGGACTCATTCCAAGAAACACTTAGATGCTTATCTTGCTGGGGTTCTTTGACCGTAGCTGACTTTCTGCCCCTAGGGCAGGGGGCTGGACTTGATGATCTTCAAGGTCCCTTTCAGCCCTAACATCTATGAAATCTATGAAACTCACAGACAACTGAAACACCATTGAACGTAGTGACTTGCAGCTATTATCAGTCAGGGCTAGATCTGAACTGGTGAGCTAATTACTGATGGACGTTTCCACAGCCAGCCAAGTAATGTTATAGCTACATACACTAATTTACATGCTTCCGGTGACACTAAAATATTGAAATGTACCTTATTATCAGTGCCTCCATCAGGAAATCCATCTCATCCTGCTCAGAGCAGACTTCTGGCAACGTCTGTTGAATGGAAAGAAGGGAGAGATCCCCCCCAAAAGGCAAAGGATAATTAAAGAAGGCACAGAAAAGTCAGAGAGACAATCAGTGAGTCACTGGGCTCTACATTATTACCCTACTGACAGAGAAAGGAAAAAAGAGATTAATGAACTATGTGGAGAACATTCTGGGATGCATTCTGGTATGTAGGACTTTTATGGCCAAAGCAAAATATACCTGATTCTATTTGAGAACTGTAGTTACTGGGAAATTACCATATGTAATAACAGCATTTGTTGACAGATGCAAGCTACAGGTGCAAGCCTGTAGTGCAAGCTGTGCTGTAGCATGGTGGCCACTGCATGGGATGGTGTGGCCACTGCAGGTGTGAGGACTGCATGCTTGCTGCTACTTGTATAGGGGCTGAAAGAGATGAGGTTTTTGTTGCTGACTGCAGTCTAGTTAACGTGATTTTTGCCATCTATAGTGTGGGCTGTGGTGGATGGGGCTGTTTTTTGCTAATTGAAATAAGTGTCTGTCTCACAGATGATCCCACTGGCAATCTATTAAGTTGGTAGAAGATTTACAAAAGGAATATATTAAATGCACTCCTTCAAAAGTTCTATAACCTCCACCCACTCTTTCTGTCAAACCCAAATGCTCTGACAGTACGGGCTGATAATACAGTCAGAATATAATGCAAAGGAACCCAGCCTTCAGGCAACTGCATTGCTGGGTCTAGGAAATCATCTGTGTGCATTTAGGCTTTAGGATCTTAAACAATATTCCCTCTCTTATAATGTGCCCTATGGATATTACATTGGTTTCCAGAGAGGGAAGTAGGGCAGAGTTGTGGTAGAATTCAGTAATTTCACTTTGCAGGGGATCATGCAAACATCCAGGTAGATTTACAGCCAAGATTTACAGACAAAGCAAAATTACATAACTCTTAAACGTGACGTGAGCAGTATGTTTAAGTAACACTGTATTACAGACATATTGTATCGATGGTCATTATAACAATATATTTTCAATTAGAACCTTAATATGATAACTCAGAATTCTGAAATTCACTTACAATATAGTACATATCCTGGGAAAAGAGATACAAACAGCTGATGCTCTTTCTAGGGTACCATTAGAGACTCCACTGTCTCCAGAGGAACTCCAACAGGAGCTGAGGTCCTTGCTCAACCTCACTTTGGATCATTAAAACAATGAATAGTATTTGAACCTACTTCTGTCTGCCAGTTGTTTTGGTGTTTCCCCCTATTTGGACAGCAAAACTACACTAGGCAGTTCCATTTGCACTAATTAGGATCATTTCTGAGTCCTCAGACTCACCCACTCACTCAAGTTTCACTACTTCCAGGCAAGCATTTACACCATTACACAAATGTGCTTGTTCTACTGTCAAAAAAATGAACCACAAAAATCTTACCATTAACTTCTTTTTTGCTAAGCTATCTAATTTGGGGCCTAAAGCACAGTGTTTAATATGTGAGTTTATACCCTGAACTGCCAAGCATGATTGATATCAGAAATCAGTAGCTGGCAATCTTTTGAGGCACAAGCTGCTGTCCAAGGCCATCCATACAACACTGCGTACATCATCCACCCTTATTATTCCAACAGTTTTTACCGGGTTAGAGGGCCTATAGGAGAAGAGTACCAGAGCACCAGAACCTATATATAGGCTTAACATGAAGGGATGAGGAGTCAAGAGCATCAGTCACAGAAGTCTGGAACACCAAGTAGTACCGAGGTTCTCAAACTTGTTAGACTAAAGACGCCCCTCAAAACATGCCAGCTCCTAGCTCCCATTTGTTTTCTTGATATGGGAAAATAATAGAGTAATTCTTATGTTGCAAAGAACTTAGAAAGACCACAACATGTCAGAATGTTTTTGACACTATGGATTCCTATTTGAAATCTCTGGGTTTATTTTATGAATTATGTATAGGTGTTTGCACCTAATATTGCATGGTAACCCATGGCACCCTTGGAAAGATTTCACAGGGTGCCACAGCATGCTAGTTGAGAATTACTGAACCAGTGCCTGAGAAGTCTGGGAATTCCCTGGCCAACAAATCAATTTTGATTTGTGTGGCTAGATTATCTGCTTTCTATGGATAGATGACTGAGATTTGCACAGATTCCCTTAAAATAGAAGGAGTTCTCCCTGGCACAGACAGCTGAGACAACCTCCCTTTTAGTTCCCATCCTCATTAAATGAACAGTTGTAGTTACTGCAATAGCCACAATGCCATCAAAATAGCTGTTTATTTTCAATCGGCTGCTACTACTGTATGGCTTAAAAAACAAAACGATAGGAAGTGCGTAACTCCCAAATGCAACACTAGCAGTGTGTGTAATGTGTTTAACGCTATACGTGTGTGTAGTAATAATGCATTTCAGTGATAACGAATTCAGTGTGACAAAATCATCAACAAAGCTAACTGCACTTTATCTTGCATCAGCAGATGCATGACAAATAGAAACCAAGAGGTGATGCTTCCTGTCTATGCAGCATTGGTCAGACCACAGTTGGGAGTACTGCATCCAGTTTTGGGTGCCGTACTTTAAGAAGGATGTGGATAACCTCGAGAGGGTCCAGAGGAGGGCCACTCATATAGTTAAGGGTTTGCAGGCCAAGCCCTATGAGGAAAGACTAAGGGAAGTGGATCTCTTCAGCCTCCACAAGAGAAGGCTGAGAGGTGATCTTGTGGCCATTTACAAACTCATTAGGGGGGCACAGCAAGGAACCAGAGATGCTCTATTCACCAGGGTGCCTCTTGGGGTAACCAGGAACAATGGTCATAAACTGACAGAGAGCAGATTAAGGCTGGACATCAGAAAGAACTTCTTCACGGTGAGGGTGGCCAGAATTTGGAATGGGCTTCCAAGGGAGGTGATGCTCTCTCCTGCCTTGGGGGTCTTTAAGAGAAGGCTGGATAGGCATCTGGCTGGGGTCATCTGACCCCAGCACTCTTTCCTGCCC